TATGATATAATAAATTAAATTGAGATTAAAATTGTGTACGAAGGAGCATTACGTCTTTGTCTCGTTCGTCTTCATTTTCTTTGTCCCATCGATCTGAAGAGGCACTTACTCATTGGTCACGCGTAATAATGCGATGCGTCGCAGGGTTTGCGTCAGAACACGTCGCGAGAGTGTCGCGACCTTAAGAAGGAAAAAAGAAAAGGAAAGAATCTAGTTTATTTCGCAATAAATTCCCCGTCGCGAGTCGAGACGAGTCGAGAGCCGAGTGAACGCGCAGCGTAATGTGATTTGTGTCTCGTGCCGGCCCTAAAGGTCGAGAATGGAGAAGAGATGCGGTTGCATCCTTCTTGTGCAACGATCCTTTCTCGATTTGCGGATTTCTGCGCGGATCTCTGATCTCTCTGACACGGGACGACCGCGGCGAGCCTCCCAAGCAGCAGGCAACTTGTCGAAGGTAGGCGGAGATCGCGCGATAGAGATAGGGCTCGGCACGCGGGTGACTTTCTTGATTTACAGGCAACCTAATACCGGCTCCTGAACTGTCGAACTTATCGTAATTTGTAGTTAAGAGCGAATCGAGATGGTGGCACGAGATAATGTTATTGTGGACGTGTCATTAAGGATGTTTGGGTATAAATATAATATCAACTGAAAGTATCAGGCAAACGATCAGTCAAAATAAGCTAATATCAGCTAATTTCATTTAAGAAATTTTCATGTCATTTATTCGTGAACCATCAACTGCAGGAAACAAAACAAATAAATAATTTAGCTTATAACGATTTTATGCAACAATTAATGACCATATTTTTCTCCAGTTTCAGGGGTCAGTAATTTTTAAAACGAGTAAAGAGATTAAAAAAATATTGCGACTATTTATTATTATGTTAATCAGTATATGTGTAATTTGATTTAATTTTTAATGTTTCTTCTTCGTGAACTTTACAAATAAATATTATAAAATGCGATCTTAAAAATCGAGACAAACAAAATTAAATATCTTTTTACTAATAAAAGAATCGTGCTCTCTCAAATTTTACACAGATATTCAAACGTAATAATAGAATATGTACATGAAATAGTTATGATATTGTTTTTGGGTGTGACACATATACCTTAATCGTGTAATCGTCGATATCGATAGCGAAACTTTTTGGCCAGTAGAACACCTCACGCCGGAGAATCTTTCGCGTTCGAAGTTTAAATAAAATTTCTATCGCGAAAAAGTGTGCGGACAATACATTTATAATAAATTTTATAAATGCGCACTGATAATACTCAGAAAAAATAAATATTGAATTAAATTGAGAACGAATTTTGCCTTATGAGAAAATATTCGATTAAAAGAATTTCTCTCTTTTTAAGATGTTAATTTGAAATAAAAAAATTAATTTCTTTGTGTAATTTCAGTTTGTGATTTTTGAAGATTTAAAGACTTGTGAATTTACGGAATAGAAATCTCTATGAATTCCTTTGAATGCGCTCATTTTCCGCAGGGTATGCTCTCTTGACGTAATCAAAGCGGTTAGATACGAGGCTTCCAAAGACGCAGGAAGCGAATTACCGTCGAGTTGATATTTGCACTAATCGGATTCACAAGCGAATATAATCCTAAACGAGCACATGAACCGTCCCATTAAACTGAAGCGGAAGTTGAGGCAATAAATTGCATAATTTCATCTTTCACCAACATTTCGTACTTGTATTTTGTCGTCGATGGAAGCTATTCCTCACGATACGAGCTTATTTTATCTTATATTACGTCGAAAAAACTTTGAAATCGAAAACAATTCAAACGCAATTAAAAATAACACAAAAGCGTCGAAAACAATCTTGACACGTCGAATTTTTCGTTATGGATAAAACATGAAGCTTTAAACGAAAACAGCGGCAATTTGATGAATTCGTAGAACCTAGTTGCCCGGGACGCAAATATTATATCTCGAAATAATTCGATCGATACGCGCAGACGGTTATTCCTGAGTCTCGCTTTTGGTATGACATAATTTGATAATAAATTTCATATTACACACGAAGGAATCAAATCATTGCTCTAATTTCAGCGAACTTGCTTGCTCGCTCATCGTATAGAGACATATGGCAAAAATATACCTGGCTAGGTCGAGCTTAAATTTCTAACCATCCAAATTTTATTATTAGAAATAAACAACGCTATCTCACCGCGAATATTTGATTTCAGATTGGAAATTGAGGATAAGAGAAAAGAGAGACAATAATGCTGACCGAAGCTGAAAACAAAGATTAAATTTTAATTGCCATTTAATAACGATTGTAAAATGTAAAATATTTGTAATATACTAAAACCAATGATAGAAAGATAACGAAGTCGTATATCATAGTAAAATATAATAATTATTTATTTTTACAGAATGTGACATTTAAATTAATTAATTTTATTAGAGAGAGAGGGAGAAAATAGTCGGGAAACGTTACTGGGCGAGAACAAGAAACTGATGAAATCCAGGAGAGGCTGCGTTACATGCATAAAGCTCCCTGGGGCCTTTGAAACGAACGAAGGAACGGTCTTGCAATTACGCGTTGACGCAATAGTGCGAGGGGCACACCACGCGCTCCGGGTTCTCGCTTTCTCTCATCTTCCGAACGATCGAGCGGCTGGAACGTTGGACTTATCGAACGGAGACGGAACGAGAAGGACCTTGATCCTTCCCCACGACACCGATCTTCTCACCGTTTTCCCTTCCTTTCTCCGTGGTTATTTTTTCCTCTTCCTCGCTCCGTCATCCGAAGCGTGCGATGATGGACGTCGCTCGGTTTTTCTCCGTGAGCTATGAACGTGTTACGTAAGGCGGGGTTAACAACAAAATTCCCGGCTTCCACAGCCTGGTGAACCGCGTCGGATCGCCGGGATACGCGTACGGATATGCGACGTGCTCGTTTCTGCGGTCGTGCGCGACTCTCGTAGCGCTCGTCAAAGGAGAAAAAACCGAACACGCTGCAAAACCACATCGACGGCGCTTCCGGAGAGTATGTTTTACGTCTTGTTTGCGGCTGTGTCCATTTTTCTGGAAAGAAAAATAGGCGAGGGTGTCCTCGACCTCTCGGGGGTCCAGGCAAGATTTGACAATACGACGAAATTGCAGTATTCTATTCTGCAATATATTTCTAATTTTTTTAAGTACTCTCTTCTCTCTCTCTCTCTCTCTCTTTCCGAAACGCAACTCTTTTTCGCACATTTTCCGATTTCGGAGATGCAGACGATTTAAATTAAAAATGTTGAAATTCGAAATAAAATCCTCAAGACTTCCTTTCGATTTTTTTCTTGCCTCTCGAAGGAAAGGACCTTTGATTTTTATTTCTAATAATTCTGTCTTTCTTCCATTAAAGATGCACGAGGTGGATGAGGCGGGTCGCGGGACACGGGCCTGATTGTCTGTCCATCGCAAACGGGGCACAGGCAGCACACGTAACAGGCACGCCGAACGTGTACCGGATGGATCGCTCCGTGTTCCAAGTATTACAAGAGCGATCTCCTGCGTGTCAAGACTGCCGATACGGCAAGAGGCCGTGTGTGCCAGGGCACACGGCCTCTTCTTCGAGTGCCACCTTCACCAGGAACGCCAGGGTGTGGCGCCAGAACTCGGAGAACGACCTTAGACACGACCTCGTCTGAGACTAACAAAAGTCGCGTCGGTCCCACCTTCGGTTTCGGCAGCTGAACAAGTATCGGGAGGACAAAAGCTTATTCCATTTGTTATTGATTGCCGATCGATCTGCTACAGATTGCGCAGAAGGTAAAATCGCATATGTCTTTTTAAAACATTCTCTACAACTGTCATATTTTTTTTTATCGATGACACTGAATTGATTATACTATAATAATATAATACCAAAAACTAGGATATCATTTTTTTTATTATTGGTAGTAATTGATAAAATAAATTTCATTAAATAATTTTCCCTTGACAATTATAGCGTATTCACTTTTCAAGAATAACGGAATTTAAACGATCTTTATATGGTTGTTAAATTTGTCTAAATGTCCAAAAATTATTACGATTCAAAAATTCTTGTAACTATTTGATATGTATTCTCCGATATTTACAGTTTTCCTATGGGATACGTTTCGGGTCGCGTAGGCGATCGATCCGTGTCGAGACTCGCACAGTGAGTATACACAAGTTTACATCGCTACGCAATGGCCAGCGTGTCCTGTAAGTGTATCGTCGAGTACGTAACAGGAAGTAACGCGGTGCGAATATTAACGAGCGGGCGCGCACCACGAAAGCGTTTACGGCTCGCTCTCCGCGCTGCACACGCCTTTGTATTTTGCAACACGTGCAACACGCACGCGCGCGCGCATCGATGTTCACACCGCATCAGCCTCAATCCTCAATAGCGTTTCGCGGAATAGAAGCAAATAATACGCTTCACTTCATATTCTAAAATCGTGAAAATCAAAAGATTTGAAGACAGAAAATAAAAATTTCTATATTTCAGGAAAAAAGCAACTGGTCTACAATATTTTGTACATGTAAAGCAAGATATATTTTATTTTGCTCTTTTTATCATTTTGGAGCATGAAATAAGATTATATTTTGTATATTTTAAAGTAATATAAGTACTGACAATTTACATTAAATGAGAATCTGTCATGTAAAACTTGAATGGCAAAGGTATTACATAAAGGTAAACAATTTTCGAGATGCTTTAATCTCTTTCTCTCTCGCATTTATAGTTTTAATTTAATGTTTATGGGAAAGATATCAAAGTAATTATATAACAAAAAATATGTACAATTTTAATGTAAAATCTTAACGATACAATAACATTTCCGGAAACATTCTAAAATTGTTGAAAGCATGAATTATTTCAATCATATTTGTGAAAGAGATACAATAGACTGCATAGACAAATCTTATGCTAGGATAAAGACCACAAGTAAAGAAAAAACATAATAGATATACATATTATTTTCACATCAAACACACCTTCATATGGAATTCCTACAAAATGCCGTGAATTTATGCTTGTTTAAATAAGTTATTTCTCAGCTGCGTTTAAATTTATTATGGAAGGGTGGCAAATCAAAAATCCTGGCTGTACCAAGGAGTACTAACACTGGAAACAAAATTGTTGCATATAAATATTGAGTAAAGATTCGTCGCGTTATCAATATTCTATTAATAAAATTTATTTATTATTATTATAATTTTTTGAGCGTGTACAAAGTGCAAGCGTTATCTGCTTTTAATAAAGCAGATAAAGCCACAAAGCAATGTATTATGCTCGAACCGACGTACCAGAGGCAACCGAATACATTGCTGCTTTTCCTACTTGCTTCTGGTATTGTTTGGAGTGATGACAGACGTATAAACCAGCAGCGACGAGGCCGCAACCGCTCAGCAATCTGCATTCGAAACAGTCGCGGTTTCTGTTGCTGATCATACTGTTTACTGTGTGTATGTTCGTCATATCTGGATCTTAAACACAGTTTACGAAAGTAATAAAAGTACCTCATACGACGAAACGACTTTTCAAAGAGGTTAGAAATGGAATCGTGCAACGTCTCACCTGTATATACACTTGTCACCTTGTCAGTTATTCAATCATCGATGTAATTATATATCTAGAAACGAAAACTTCACTTCATACACGATGATCGAAGTGTCTCTTTTTTCATGTGTTTGTGGCGCCATCTCTATATCATGTTCATAATTCTTAAGATCAGTCTCTGCATTATCCATGCTAAAGATCGGTTTAGAATTCACTGCCATTTCAAGTTAAAGTTAAAATTAGATATATTTTATATCTTAAAAAGCAATAGAGACATTATGTCTTCCAATAAGTGACATGAATGATACCGTAATCATCTCATTCTTGTTTAACATTGGCGAACAACAAGGTGTCATGATACCCTGTCACCTGTGTCGCTTGTTGACCAATCAAAAGAAAGAACTTTACTAACTGATCAATGAAAAAAATGCTTCGAAGCATTTGTAGCATCAAGTGGATTGTAGCTTAAGGCCGCAACACACACCTTTGTATAATACATAGTGCATGAGGCTGGGATCAGACTACGCATTGAAGAACGAGATTAAAGATTGAAATTGGACCAATCAAAACAAAAAGAGCCAAAATTCTTTGTCCTCAGTAGTAAAATTTCCAATCTTTAATCTCGAATCTCAATCTTCAAATAGTCTGATTCTGGCCTAAGCAAATCAATCGATCAAAATCCTTCTTTTCCTATTTCACGAAGAAGAATTTTGATTGGTTAATTCGCTTACGCGTTATGCGAGTTTTTGCGCCCCTTAATTATTGTGCTGTCTAATTAGATATTTGAAAAATCATAAATATATAATGGAATGATCGCACGCAACGAATGCAAACAAAAAAGGTGTAAAACAAGAAAAATTGTGAAATTTTCTTTTTTATCCGTTTACAATAGTTGACGCACTGTGGCGCTTCGGACGTGAAAGTTGGCAGGTCTGTGTTTCAGAAATTTTTGGCAAACCTGCTTCGAATAGTGTTCCTCACTTCGAATCGAAACTGGGAGGTTGCGAATCCGCGTGTATACTTGTGTACTATACGTCGGTCGTCGTCAGCGCTCGTGGAGGTTAGCGGCGGGGAGAAGAGTCCACTTCCAAAAGCGTGCATCTTCTGTCACAGTTGGTAGTCGGGAGAGGGAGAAATCAGTTCGCAAGTTCTGCTCGTACGCGCGTGTAATATAGTGGTGGTGCGCGGCGCAACATTCGCCAGAGGTATCGACCCTTTTTCTCGTGACATATCGATAATTCCCTTTATTAACGGGAAAATATTTTTCTGTTCGATGAAAATCATCCGAGGATAAAATAAAATTGCGAACGAGAGATGGACGAGTCTATACGAGAAAGAGAGAGAGAGAGAGAGAGAAAGAGAGAATGGGAAACAAAAGAAGAGCGAAAGATAAAAGCCGGTGCGGCATCGCTAAACTCGCCGTGTCTCGCCGGGGGTGACTGTTCGAATCGGCAGGGTGTACGTTACCAAATAAGGTGTTCCCGAATGCTTTGCGGGAGCCCTCGTGTGTTTTTTCCGCAGCGCTGCTTTCGTCCGCCAACGAATCGCACGTCGTCGCACATTCGCGCGGTCTGTTCCCGCGACGTGTGGCGGGAATACGAATCTCGTTTTTTCGCTCCTCCGTTCTATCGTCTTCTTTTTTTTTCTCTCCATTCGGCTTCTTTCCCTTCGATCGTTCAACGCCGGTGACTAACCACCTTGGAAATACATTCTGGCGCGAGTTATCGCGCTGCGATCTTCGTTCTGTCGTGTTTTTTTTTTTTGTTTTTCGTTCTGCTGTTCCTTTTTTTTCTTTTTTGATCGTTCAACGCCGTTGACTAACCACCTTGAAAATATATTCCGGCGCGAGATATCGCGCCGCGATAACGCGCGGTTGGATAATGATAACCGCAAGCAGCTCTTATCGCTGCCGTTTTCCGTTGGACGTTCGCAAGTCAGGCGAAAGCGTCGAGCAAAAACAAAAAGAGAACAAATAGACCTTTTTTTTTTTTATAGCCGCAGTAAACCGGTATTCATAGACGGTTCTTATATTTATGTACAGTACAAGGTGTTGGATATCTATCACAAAATCGTTTATTTAATTAGCATTTCGATTAAGACATACTTTATCACTTAAGATGAGTTTAAAAAAATACCGACCTTAATGTACTCCCTTTGCATTTAAAGTGAATATGCATACGTTTGATATTCGACAAAAGCGAGAAGAAAAATTTTAGTGTAATCCAGTTCAATAAAAAACAAACCTAATATAAGCTAGATGCTTAATTTCTATTGAAACTCAGTTCTTCTGATGTAAGATCAACTTTAATCTTGGCTCACAACGGACTATTCTTTTTCCAATTCTAAGAATTAGAAAAGATAAACACAGTAAATTAAATCAAGATTAAAATTAATCTTACACACCGATGGAACTTGGTCTGAGAATCAGAAAAAGTTAAAAAATAAATTAATCTGACAATGAGATTAAAAGAGTTAATCTCGCATTGGTGGAATCTAGACATTCTTGTCAATGTATACAGATTAACTTTAATCTTGTTTTTTGACTTATTTCTTTTTCTAGTTCCAAGAGTTAGAAAGAGATAAAGAGTAAATAATTAAGCTCCGCGAGATTAAAGAATCTATATATTGGTAGAAAAGCGGCGAGGCAAGTCGATACAAACATTGTATCTTTCTCGGCGATTAATAAGGATCAGTAGGCAGAATGACGTTTGTGTGATAATTGTCACGAATGGAAAGCACAGCCGTCGCATCCCCGGGTGCTTCCCATCTGATCGTCGCGCAAAGCGGCGGATCGAAGAATCAGCCGCGATTTTCGAATCCTTCGCTCCGTTCGAGAGAGAGAGACACACGGTGAGGATCTCATACGGAGTGTTCGTGCTCGCGTGTCGCGCGAGTAGGTCAGGCTATGGTCAGGATGAGAATGACACATATGCGGAGCGCGTATTATTTCGAATCATTCGTGAATCACGATCTGTCGCGCGCTCTCTCTCTCTTTCTCGCTCGGGCGCGGCCGCGCTCGCGCGACCCCGTCTATTTCGGTGAATCGAAATCATTTTTCGATGCACCATGTAAGGAGCGCGGGAAGCGCTCTCTTTCTCTCTTTCTCCCCCTTGCTCTCTCTCTCTTAATCTCTCTCCCTTCATCCGTTCGCCGCGATAATCGGCAAAGCTCGCAAAACTGTTCATTACGCATGCCGCGGCGGTCGCGCCGAAACACGTAGATGCAAAGCGACCGAGTGTTCGAAATATATTCTTATTGCGGTCGTGTCCGTTTGTGTGTACGAGAGAGGACAGAGAGAGAGAGAGAAGGCGTGTGAGAGAGAGAGAGAGAGAGAGGGATGGGGCGAGAGTGGGGAATCTATTTATAAAGAGCGGGGATGTTCCACGCGACGCCCACGCCCGTGTCGCGGACGCGTGTACGACGATAATTTATTAAAAATAATCGCGGCAGAAAGACCGGCGCTCGTCGGCGACCCCCGCGGTGAGATCGCTCCACCTCGCCCGGCCCGCTCTCTTTCACCGTTGTCTCCGCTCCGTTGATTGCAGAGCAGGTGCAGACATGTCTTTCCGCGTGGTGCGCACCAGCAAGTTCCGCCACGTGTACGGAACTCCGCTGAAGCGCGAGCAATGCTACGACAACATCAGGGTGTCCAAGTCGTCGTGGGACTCGACGTTCTGCGCCGTGAATCCCAAGTTTCTCGCCATCATCGTGGAATCGGCAGGCGGCGGTGCCTTCATCGTCCTACCGCACAACAAGGTAGGCTTTCTTTATTTTTTTTTTTTTGTTTTGTTTTGTTTCTCTTCCCTCAGGTCTGTTTTTATATGTGCTTTATACGTACGTTTGGTATTCGACAAAAGTGAGAAAGTCCTAGTGCAGTCCACAGACTACGTGTAAAAAAAAACAGACCTCTTTACATTTCTGCCTGCCCCAATTTCGTCGCCGAGTTTCTCCCCTTTCATTGGCTAACACAGCCGGAGTGGTGTGTCGTATATATGTATTATTATAGTGACAACAGCAGTAATGGCATAGCTTTCCAAATGACAGTTTGCAATATCCGTTTCAAGTTCCTTGACCACACCATAATTGGTAGCTGATCTTTGTCGTTGAAACGTTTGTAGGTAGGAAGAATACCGGCGGACTATCCTTTAGTAGGTGGACACAAGGGACCTGTACTGGACATCGCTTGGTGCCCTCATAATGATAATGTCATAGCCTCCGGTTCTGAGGACTGTGTTGTCAAAGTATGGCAGATACCCGACGGAGGCATTTCTAGGACGTTGACCGAGTCGATAGTAGATCTGCAATTGCATCAACGCAGAGTTGGTCTAGTGCTATGGCATCCCACCGCGTTAAATGTGCTGCTCACGGCTGGTTCAGACAATCTTGTTCTCATTTGGAACGTCGGGACAGGAGAAGCCCTGATGCGCATCGACTGCCATCCAGACGTGGTTTATTCCGCGTGCTGGAACTGGGATGGATCTCGATTAGTCACTACGTGCAAAGATAAAAAAATTAGAATCCTAGATCCAAGGTCGGGTGAAATATTAGAAGAAGCTATAGCACATGAGGGAAGCAAGGCAACGCGTGCCATCTTCCTTAGGTACGTACTCCATGTATTTTATTCTTCAGCATTTTACCGCTTCTTCTTATTGCTATATATTATTCACATGTATTTGTATATTGTATAAAAAGTCAGATTGGTGCAACAAGGAAAAGAGTGGAAAATGTAAGAAAATGTAAACATATTTTGTAAAACAGATTAAATTCTAATGTTTCTATCACAATGGTAGTTTAACTTTAATTTCGATTTAAATACTTTATCTTCTTCTAGTTCTAAGAATCAGAAAAATATGAAGAGAATAAGTTAAATCAAGATTAAATTAATCTACATTAGAGTGGAAACAAGCATAATTCTTGAAGTATAGGAACAGCAAATAGAGGACATCATATTCCTGAAAATCTTTTTAAATTTTTCTCAAAAATGGATATATATATATTTCCAGTTGCATCAGTCTTATCTCAGATACAACACATATCGTCCAAATAAATGTTATAATATTATTTTC